AGATTTATCTGAAATGTGTATTTTTATGCTAACATTTCCAGAAAGTAAACATGTCAGTATATGTAGCTTTGAAGTAGGATAAAACACTATGGATAAAGCCTTTAAAGACTGTACGGAGTTCATCAGAGCAACTAAGAGAATAAAAGTGTTTCTTTTTCAATTTAAGCTATGATATACTTCATATGTAATAGTGACCTTAACTTCTATATAATTAAATTTTAAGATTTTTTTATTATATGCCTTAGTTTTATCCGCTGTGTTAGAATCTCATTATAATTTTTGTTTTCTTAATTAAAATAAGAATTAAGAAGTTATGTGATATCCTATAAGCTAGCCGTTATAAGGGATGTTACAATATGCTTTTACGATTTGCGTTAACTTTTACGAGACAGACAAATCGATTTTTTTTTCTCCGTATACCGCACGGGTAATATACTAATTTAAATCTAAAATAAAACAAGAGAACTTGAAAGTAAATGTGTCATTTTATATAGGAAATGTAGATAAAAAAATTAAGTTGACTCTTAATTAGTGCAATCCAATATAGGAAAAAACAGTTATCGTTTGGAGAAAAAAGAACAATTTTAAAGCAAAAAGAAATTTTATAATGAATTGATTTAAGAGTAAAAACAGTTTAGATTTAAGAAAAAAATTTACATAAAAGGAAAATTTTAAAAATAATTATTTTGATAACATAAGGAGTTGAAAATTAAGAAAAGAAAAGAAAAATGGAGCAAAAATAATAAAATAATTACTAACTTCATTTAAATAAAATTATAAAACGGTAAAAGGACTTGTCTTTAATAGAATATATCATGCTACTACCTCATTTTCAAAAAATGATAATTCAATTTTATTATATAATAATAAATAGGATTGAACACTTTTATGAGGTGGACTCAAGATTCATCACCTCTCTACAATATATATTTCGTATTTGATGTGTATTATATAAATAGTTTGATAGAATAATAGGATAATATTATCTTATTCAATGTTAGAGGTAAATTTCATTGTGTTTATTTATATTATATCCTAACACAATGAAATTTACTTAAGATAATATTATCCTATTATTCTATCAAACTATTTATATAATACACATCAAATACGAAATATAAATATATAAATATATATATATATATATATATATATATATTAAAAATTGATGTTTAATTGTCATTATTTATTTATTATTTAAATTATTAAAAGTTCTAAAAGTTATAATTTTAAAAAAAATATATTTAAATGCATAAATACAGAAACTTCAATGTTTCTTCCGCGCTTTAAGATAAGATAGAGATCGCTACTGAAGATAAGATAGAGATATTCTTTCATATTTCAAGAGTAGAATTTTTCCAGAAACTTATGGCTCATAACATACTGTAACACTTGGCTCAATAGTCTTCTTAAGAGATTAGGATACAACCGCACAAGAAAAAAGTGACGATTGATATTTCTTACGTGTATCTAACGTTTTCTCTAAATTTTAGAAAGTAGTATTAATATAATAATTTCACGATGAATACGATGGAAGAAATATCTGGATTCTGCCAAACATTTTTTACCAGCAACATGATATTTATATAATTGGATCTTCATCACCCACTCCTCATCTTCCAAGTTTCATGTCCTGGTCATTTGCCACTAATCAACAAATAACTAGTCATTATTATCAATCATGTTCTCCATTCTTCTTCTTATTGTTAGTAAAATATATATAAAAGGGCATTTCCCAAACTTGAGTAGCAGCAGCAGCCGCGCTTCTCAAGGAATCCATGGCTGCCGTAACGCCTCTTATTCTTCTTACACTTGTCTTTCTTCAAGTTTTGTTAGTTTTTGCAAACGTTTATCTGAGTTCAACACTTACCACTCATGATAATGATGCGTGGCTATCACCTTTGGGTGATTTTGCTTTCGGGTTTCGCCAACTTAACGACACAAGTACAAACCTCTTCATGGTTTCCATCTGGTATAACAAAATACCCGACCGGACCGTTGTTTGGAATGCAAAAGCAGATGATGATGTTGTAAAAGCACCAACAGGATCACAGATTCAGCTCACATCAAAAGGGCTCACGCTCACAAGTCCTAACGGGAAATCCATATGGACGGCACAACCAAACGCCCTTGTTTCCCACGGAGCTATGCTTGACACTGGCAACTTTGTTCTCTTGAACAACAATTCTACTAATGTGTGGGAAAGTTTCAAGAATCCCACAGACACGTTGTTGCCTAACCAATCTCTGGAGCAAGATGGCAAGCTAACTTCTCGATTCACAGAGACCAATTACACAAGAGGAAGGTTCCAACTTTATTTTCAGGATGGTGATGTCTTTCTGAGCCCCCTTGCTTGGCCTACTGATTTTCGTTATGACTCTTATTATAAAATTGATGCTGCTGCCTCTGCTTCACGATTAGTATTCAATGAATCGGGGGATATTTATGTAGAGACAACAAATGGGACTAGAATACAACCTCAAGGTCAACAATGGGATAACATAACTCTCGATCCTAAGGTGTACTACTACAGAGCGACACTTGATTTCCATGGAGTTTTCACCCATTATGCTTATCCAAGGAGCTCCAGTGCCCAACAAGGCTGGACAATTTTGAGGTATGTTCCTTATAATATATGCATTGCAATACTTAATGACATGGGTAGCGGTTGCTGTGGCTATAATAGCTATTGCTCCAAGGAAAATCAGAGGCCTACTTGCAATTGTCCTGATGGGTATTCGCTAATAGATCCTAGTAATCAATTTGGTGGATGCCAACCCAATTTCACCCTTGGTTGTGGGGCAGATAATGATGGAGGATCGCAAGCACAGCCAGAAGAGCTATATAATATTACTATTCTTAGATACGTGGATTGGCCTCTATCAGATTATGAAAAGTTACAACCCTCCTCTCAACAGGACTGCCAACAATCTTGCTTGATTGATTGCATGTGTGCTGTTGCCATTTTTAGGGATGAAACATGTTGGAAGAAAAGATTACCTCTCTCTAATGGAAGATCAAACAGTGGCAGTCACTTGGTCCTTATGAAAACAAGAATTGCTCCTTTGGGTAACCTTGGTCCTGCCAATAGTCCTAACCCAAAGAAAGAAGATCGAGCTAAGCCAGTTCTAGGTTTACTTATTGGCTCCGTTGTCATCAACAGTCTACTCCTGGCTACTGTTGTTTTGATTCTTCTCTTGAAGCCCAGAAGGATTGTCCAAGCTTCAAGTAATTTGGAATCAAATTTACATTCATTTACTTATGAAGCATTGAAAGAAGCCACGTGGGATTTTAAGGAAGAACTAGGCAGGGGTTCCTTTGGCATTGTTTACAAAGGCAAACTAGAAGCGGCGTCTTACAATGTGGTTGCCGTCAAGAAATTGGACAGATTGGCACAAGAACAAGAGAAGGAATTTAAGACCGAGTTAAGTGCTATTGGTAAAACCTGCCACAAAAATCTGGTACGGTTGATTGGATTTTGTGACGAGGGACTCCATAGGCTAATTGTCTACGAGTTTATGGGCAATGGTTCTCTTGCAAATATCCTATTTGGACAACCCAAACCCATTTGGAATCTAAGGGTTAGGTTTGCTTTGGATACTGCAAGAGGGTTGGTGTACTTACACGAAGAGTGTGACACTCCCATCATTCATTGCGATATTAAACCTCAAAATATACTCATAGATGAACGTTTCACTGCAAAGATCTCTGACTTTGGGTTGGCCAAGTTGTTGTTGTCTGACCAAAGTAGAACCAATACCATGATCCGAGGAACTCGAGGATATGTGGCTCCTGAATGGTTCAAGAATGTTCCTGTAACGGTTAAAGTGGATGTTTACAGCTTTGGTGTCATGTTGTTGGAAATCATTTGCTGCAGAAAAAGTGTGCAGCTAATGGACTCCGAGGAGGAAGAGAGAGCAATATTAACAGATTGGGCTTATGATTGCTATATAGAAAAGAGAATAGATGCTCTGGTGGAGAACGATCATGAGGCGTTGGCTGACATTGGCAGGTTACAGAATTGGGTAAAGATAGCAATCTGGTGCATTCAAGAGCATCATGAAATGAGGCCAACAATGGGAAAGGTCATGCAAATGCTTCAAGGTTCGGTTGAAGTTCCTAACCCACCATGGCCGTCTTCCTTCACTTCAATTTCTTGAATGCCATCCAGCCCAGAAAATTGGGGCAGAAAAGGTAGCCCTGACATGGTTGTGTATACCATTTCCGAAGCGAATTTTCCACAAATTTCATGATTATTTTATGTTATGACTTATTTCTTATTGTATACTTCCTACATAATGAATATACTTATGCTCCAATATAATTATTGTTTCTATGCCATTCAAGATGTTGTCTTATTTGCAATCATTTTATGGAGGAAGCATAGGACAAAACCAAGAATACTTCTCTCGGCAGGTATTCTTTGTATAAACCTGAGTATTTTTTTAGGGCAAATTATTCCTCCTATTCAATTATCATATACTCTTTAAATGAAAGGAAACTCTACATTATATAATAATAAAAACGTTTCAACAATTCATACCGAGAGTTTATTTATAGGTCGAACATAGTCAATTATGACTTTCTGCACAAAGTTTCTGTACTGAATAGCCAAGTACTCCAACAAATTGAATCCACCATATTGATTACCAAGGTCTAATTATAACTTCAACCTAGATGTTCCCTAACTTAGAAGCATCTTTACCTTGTGGAGGAAACATTAATAAACTATAGCTCTATTCTATGCCATTGCAGAAAAATCACTTACCTTGGTCGCTATCTGCTTCCACGGACGATCTTGGATGTCCCCAGAACCACATAGATGCACAAATCTTCACATGATGAATTGGATTTGAAATTTCATTCACATTGTTCATCATGAAAATTACATAGACTGCATTAATCTGAAATGAACGAGGTTCTGCTTCCTAGATCACTTGTGAGAAGGGGGGCGGAAATCTGAGCAAATGCACTGGTGTATTGGGTAAAATGATACATAGATTTCTTCAACATGACCCCAACAATACTAAATTGCCTTAATATGTATCCCTGGATTTCTTTGACAGGGCAATGACATTGAAGTTGAGGGAGTCTGGATTTTTCTGGATCATGCTCTGTATTACTTTAGCTGCATCCTGTTGTAATTTAAATACATATTAGTAATTTTAAAATAAAAAATAATATGAAGGGCAGCAAACCCAGCAAATTAACACAATTAAATGACTGCGAAAACATATGCCAGGGTTGAAAATGCCATGATCAAAATGCAGCACAATCCCACCAAATTTGACACGAAGAATGCACTCGGACAAAGCAAAAGGCATACACAAGCACGTGCACAACATGCAAGCTAACTCAGAAAGGTGGCAGCCACTGGCAGAAAGGGGTGGGGGCGAGGAACAGAGGGAGAGGTGCTTTGCTTAGAAAACTTAGGCACAGTCACCAGCTTCATTTTCCAAACAAATTTAAAGTATCATCTATCTAAAAAACTGGTCCCAAAAGGGGGATGCTCCGGAGCAAATTGCCTGAGCCGCTTTGCTATAGAAACCTTGTGATTTGACAACAATATAAAGGAATCTTTTCTTTATATGAATTGCAGAACGAATAGATCCTATCCTTAGTACAAGACTTTACGGAACAAAACAATCATAGCTCTAACATTATAGCTTTAACATGCAAAGATATTTACCCTCAACAAAGTACTAGGCGAGGATGGACCATGAGATATTGGCCCCCACTTTCTTCCATCAAGCTCATAAAGTTCATCTGCATATGACAAAAATGCGCAGAAATTAATCCCAGATAAAATGCAGACCAAATGCAAAAGAGAGAAGGAAAAGAAACAAAATTATTTTGATATATACAGTATCAATTATATAAAGAAATTACCATCCACACAAGTAAAGCATATGAAATGTGCGTCTGCATTGTCTGATGCCTGCATTACAAAAATTTTAAACAAAAAAATAAATAATAAGATGAGAGACTCAATTAGATATATTTTTAGCATCAGATTAAGTGAATCATTTTGAATTCTTTAATTGCAGCTTCTTCTAATTTAGGAAACTTCTTCTTCTTCTTCTTCCCTTTATGCCCCACAAAAGTAAATCCCCGTGAACATTGCAGGTAAGTCATACAACTTTAAGGTCAATAAATTCAAGTGGGAAGCAGAATTTGACTCAAACAGGTTGATGTATACTTACAAATTTATATCAACTGTGAAGTCAAAAGGCCATTGACATGCAATAGGTTTACAAAAATTTACCTTTGTACAATGCACAGATCCAGTTACAAAATAAAATGAACAGCGGAAACCATAATTTTGCAATGCTGGCCTTTTCTTTACTCAAATTACTATTTACTAGTCTAAAATCCAAAACTGAAATTCCCAAGATTACTCATCATCAAAGAAACCAACAAATTTAAATGATGTTAAATAAAGCCCGAGTATGTATCATTTTATCACATCTACAGACTAAAGATAACAACTAACAAGTAACAATAAGAGCAATATTGATCCAAACGAATTGGATTATATCTTTTCTGGTTTCTTCCGAGAATTTTCATCATTCCCAAGATTACTTATTATAAAAGAGACCAACAAATTTAAATGATGTTATATAAAGAGTAAAGACCCTGAGTATGTATCATTTTATCACATCTAAAGACTAAAGATAACAACTAAAAAGTAACAATATGAGCAAATATCGATCCAAATGCATTGGATTGTATTTTCAAGATATGAAGACTGAACCTCAGATCACTATATATCTACCATAAATGTATCACATCATTCCGCATTTAGTGGTGCTTCAATCAATAAATTACCTCTGTATCACCAGCAGTTGCTGCCACTGAATGAGCAACTTCCATTTCTCGGTCATTCTCAAGAAATGTTGCACGCTGTATGATATAGAAGTTAAAAAACGCAAAATGAGCATTCCTTTTAGCCGATCAATTATGTCTATGCCCGCATGTATGAGTATATGAGAAAGAAAGATATAATGTAGGGCGGGGCCAGGAATAACCTGCAACGGATCCAAGCTTGCAGTAGATTTAAAGAACTTATCGAAGAACGACCCCTCAACTGACAAAAGCAACACTAAATGAATGAGAAATAATGGTTGATGCACTAAAGATCTTAACAGAGGCAATTGATTATTGAAAACTTACCAAGCTTGACCTCAGAAGTTAAGTTTCCAAGAGCATGGAGCAGTCCTATTGTTCCACAAGCATTACCCACAGTTTGCTTCATAAAATACACTCTACTGCTATGTTCCTACACCGGAACAACACAGCATGCAGTTCAATAATCAATGACATCATGGAATATGCTACCCAAAATAGAAATAGATATATCACCTCACCTTTTTTTCATTTTCTTGTAGCATCCTCTCTTCTTCAGTCTGACCAGAGTAAAAGCTTCACAAAATCAGTTGAAAATAAAAAGCAACACAGGCACCTTCATATATAACAAATAAAGAGTTGTAGTAGGATGAAAAAAAAATAAAAAAACCTCGGTGGTTATGGGATAAAGAAAAAGCACTGCAAGAACAGGCTTTGGAACCATTTCCAGAAGTTGTTCATCTAAGCCATAAACATCACAGCATTCTGCCTCATTCTCTGGAATCCCAAGCCCCCAAAGGAACTGCAAATCACCCAAAATAACTAAAACACTTAAATTATGCATGCCCCTAATCCAAAAAAATTAAATAAACAAAAAATGCAACCGCAAACGCCAAAAATGATTCTGTATTAAAATTGGTTCTTATTAACAAATTTTCCTCTTTCTGATATAAACAGAAAGGCATAATGGGAGGATCCATAGGCAAAACCTGATTCATGACGTCAGGATTAGCTTCGAGGGGAAGCCATCTTTTAGTAGAAGCGCTTTCCTGTAAGGTAGCCATTACTTTCGCTTAGTTTATGCTCTGTTCTTCTCTAATTTTCTTTTTCTTTTTTTTCACTGCCATTGCTGCTTTATAGTCTTGTGCCAAACTCTAGTGGGCCCATCAGATTCACCCAATTCAGGCCTACCAATTTCTACAACCAAAGCCAAGCCCATTTCTAAACATGTCAATGTCATTTATATTATCTTCATCCCCATTTTTTCATATTTTTTGCTAAATAATGCATAATTAGACAAACTAGATTTAAAATATATATATATATATATATATATATATATATATATTAATTGAGAGAAGAATATGACAATTGTATATTCACATCACGGTACAAACTCTTCAGTCTTTGAGTGTATAAGAAAAAAAAATTGTTGATATGATAGCCTTATATTGATTTCTCTTTTTATTTTATGATAATGTAAAAATTAATAATAAAAAAATAAAAATACTTCAAAATTTAGATAATCTCGTTTTACATAAAATGAAATTTAAGGACATACAAAAATAATTATGATAATAACTTGTTCAATTGTGATCTTTTTACTCCTAAAGGAAGATGTCATTTCATTTTCAGCCGATTGTTAGAAATAGTTGGTTGAATGATTTTATATAAATCAACAGTTTTTAATCTCTCTCTGACCTTGTTCTTGATTGACCGATCAGACATAACATAACAACTCAAAAGGTAAAAAAAAATATTGTTAATTTCTTCATGCTCTATTATTTCTACAAATAAGAATTCTTATATACATGAATTCTTCTTCAGATAAATATATCAATGTGTGTGCGTGTGCGGGTTGGTGTGAGTGTACGTGCATGTGTGTGATGTCAATGTGAAATTTGCTTAGTTATATATCGAACTGTGACTTGTCCCAAGATCCCACAGAAGCATGCTCCATTACTGAATAGTATGAGTCAAAAGAATGAAAAACCTCTTACGACATTTGATTTTAAATACACTTAATTTTGAAAAGAATGAAGCAAGTTGGATTGCAGATAATCTGACTGATTGACAAGCTCAATTTTGCTAGTTTGGTTATTGAGTTACTAAATGTAGGTGTCCTCCATGCACTTGATAACTATCTAATCTTTCCTCCGTGGACAAATTTGTGGCCTGCCCCTGCCCTTCTCAATTTGGCTATTTCATTATTTCATCATCCATATTATTAAGTTTGAGATCTCCTCATTGATATTTTACTTAGTTTTTTTTTTCATGAAATAATATATGCAGTATTTATAATAATTAAACTTTTCCCTAATTGTGCTACAGTGCTACTATTAGTTTTCTTCCCTTGTAAACCACACCACAAAAATAAAAGAATTTCGAACCAAGTAACACTAAGCCTTTAATCATACATAGGTAAATGATTCAAAGAATCAACTTTTTTTCTTTCCTCCCCACACCCTTAGTTTGCCAGTGTATCAATTTTTTTATTTTCTTTTCATTTTAGAGTAAACCAATCTGACTACGATAATAAACTAGAATGATAGAATGGAAATTGTTATCAAGGCCCACGTTCTAAAAACCTCAAGAAAGGCTAATAGTCAAGAGAAAAATTAGGAAAAAATTTCTTAAATATAGCACCAATATTCTTAAGAGACCGAGAAATCCACTATTACTAGGTAACTCATCTATAATTAAAAGATTAAGTCAACCAAATACACACACTTAAACCCTGTCTCTCTTAGCTATTATTATGCACACACCCCACCCTTTAGTTATATTGTCTATTATAGTGTACCGTTAATCTCAAAAATATCTCCTTATAGATGCCTAAGAAAGGGCATTCAAATCTAACATAAACTCATTAATCTCTGACTAGAACTCTCAGTATCAAGAGATAACAAAAATCATACGTTACGCAATTAAAGTATTTTCTCTGCTAAAAACATAAATTAAGTTCTGGTCTTTTTACTAAACGGCAAAGTAGAGCAGTTGAGACAACTATCTTCATGGGGGATTTTTTTATTCCAGACAGAAACCCGACTGTTTTGGTTTGTGTAATGTTTAATCTATATAGGGAGCGACTCTCCAATAATTTTGTTCATTCTGAGGACTTAAATCAGAGAAGTTCAATAAAAGAAAAAGAGTTGCTTACTACCTAGAACCAATGGTTGCAGATAAAAAAGATACTTTCAAATCTTACGAACCCATCGCTCTAGCCTAAGTTGCTTCAGAGAAGGCCCAAGATTAGGTTTACGTTTCTGAGGGAATTGCCATTTCCCTGTAATCTCCATGGCATTGGAATGTTTAAGATTTGTTGCTTCTGTTAATGCCTTTCTCTTTGTCACAGCATGCTTTTCACCTGCCAATGAAACTGTTCGTGTATTTGTTGAACAATGTAATAATTTCTTTTCTGGTTTCTTCCAAGAATTTTCATCATTTGCTCCCGTGCAACTCTTCTTCCTTGCTGTAACAAAACCATCATTTTCTTTATTGCCTGTACAAGTTGAACTTGGGGAGAAGCTTTTAACTAAACTAGCGCTCATGCCCCGCTTGTCATGTTGGATCTCAGCTTCTGATTTTGCATCTTTGGTATCATTCTTCCTTACCAGCTTTGGAGGCCTCATTGTACTTCTATCGGGATCCAATGGCATTAGATTTTCTTCTCGATTACAACCAGGATTTCCGTGATTCAAGCTCAATGTATCCTCATACTTGTTTGGACCAAGATTATGTTGCAGTGTCTTATCTTGCATGCATGGCTGCAAGATCTTTTCCAAATGGGAAGTATTAGCAGTGTTTAACTTTTTCTTCATTTCATCACTGCCATCAGCCTGCGATTCCAACACCAAAGAAAAACAGTAAGCAGAAATGACTAGGAGGAAATTACTGGACAGTGGACACATTCATGTATTTAGACTACAGTCATATATTAACCAAACTTTCCTCCTATGAACTTTGGCAAATCAAACAGTATTCTATTCATCAGCAAGTGAAGTGTTCTACTTATTTCTGGGTGCAATTGAGCACAAATGTTTATTGGCATACTTTAACGATGGCTTATATTAGAATTTAGGAACATATATATTCATCAGTAAGTAAATACGTATTATTTACCCAAGCAACGCTATAACAGAAAAGTTTCAAAAGAGAAATCAAGAATGAGTACCCTGCTTGAAGGCTTCTTTTGCTTTACCTTCATGTTTTTATCAGAAGAGCTATTGTGTTCAACACATCCTTTCGGGTGGACAATCTCAAACCTGCCTTCATTTTCATTCATGACTTCAAAATCAAACCTCTTATCCTCACAACCATTCTCTTGAGAAACTTCATCACAAAAAAGACTACCGGTATCAGACACGGAAGACTCATAAACGTAGCTTGAGAACCAGTTTCTGATGTCCGGAGGCTCTGAATATATACATTTTTTTTTATAAAAAAAAAACGCAGAAAAACATAAGCCAATCACTGTTAACTAGTTGAAATATGAATATTTCACATTTTCTGTGGAACTGCACAGAAATTTTCCTGGCAGCCAAATCATAGCTACTTTTTGCAAAAGAAATTCCAAAAGAAGCATGACAAAGTACAAACCAGAAAGGAGTGAGCCTGAGCTGAAAGAATCCATACTCTGTTAAAAAAAGAATACAAATATAAAATTCTTAAATATCCATTTCTCAGCTTAATTTCTGAGAGCCTAACTCTGAAAGCCCTAAAAGAAACTATAACCAATTAACGCCCACAAGCTGAATTTCTTTCCACTTTTTTTCTTTGTCTAATTCAAAACTGAAAAATTAGGTAGATACTTTTTACCTTGATCATGCACATGTCTTCATTATGATTATCATCTTTATCACAAGTTATGCTACATTGGACTAACTTCTCCCCTGCAACTGCTTCATCTCGAGTCCTAATCTTTTCAAAATCCGCTTTTTCTTCTGTATCTCTCTGGGTTTCGGGTACTCTGAAAGCAGATTCTTCGAGACTAAAATTCGAATCCAGATCGGGAGACTGATATTCATAGCTTGAGAACCAATTCCCAATATCAGGAAGCTCTGACAGACAAATCCACAAAACACAAATATCCTTTTTAGGTTTAGGGTTGTTGTCTGTTTAAATATGAAAACTTTGAGAACCCCACAATTTAGTCATTCGTAATCGACGTCATTCCCATGTTTCATGCTATTAGGTGAATTTTAATAAGAAATTGATACAAACCATATGGGCACGAAAGCGAGGACCCCGAAACCGGGAACCTAAAACGTGATGGGGAAAGAAAAAAAAGAATTGAAATTGGGTACCTTGAAGACTTGGGGTTGAATCCATCGCAATGCATTCAACAATGCGAGAACCAGACAAGAGAAGAACGTAAAAAGGTAAAGCTACTATAAGCTATTTTTCTTTCTGAATTTTTTACGATGTCTGTCAAATTTTTGAAATTTCGCGGCGTGGGATTGGCGCCATTTTTTTAAGGCGCGTTTGCTGTTTACTACGAATCTCCGTTAATTTTTTTCTTTCCCTCTGAAAAGTGTCAATGATTTTAGGACAAAAGAGAAACTTCTTAATAAGAAAAATACTAATTCAAATGTTAAGTTTGGGATTTTTGAAAGGATATGCCGATGAGCACATGTTTAGTTTTGCTTAATTTTTATATGAAAACAGCTTTTCAGTTAAATGTTCACTCTATAGTTATTTGCTAGTTTAATTGTGACTGTTTTGGAGAAATCTCATTTAACATGAAAGAGGAATTCTTCTTAGAAGTGTAGACCCTATAATTCATTTCGGACCAATACAAGGTATCAGTCATTGCTAGAACTGGATTTGGATTCTCATGTGAAAAAATGGCCATATGATCATGTTAAGAGAGAGAAAAATGTATGATTTTTAAATAAATGATTGCGATCAAATAACATATTCCCATGACCATTTTTTCACATGAAAAAATCCAAATTCACTATAACTAAGTTACCTAGCAGGACAAGTATGTATTCAGTCTGATGTGTTGACCAGAGTCTTGCTCTTTCTCAACAACACAACATATCTGTTTCAATTTTCAAAGCAGTAAAGGAGAATAGTACTTTATCAATCTCTTCTTGTACCAATTCTCAATCTAGTTAGCAAAATAGACATGAATTTTTTCAGTGAATTCAGATATTCGATGCAAAAGATTTTAACAATTACGACCTGCATAGGCATTTCGTAGATTTATAGATCATTTGCTTCTTTGGTAGTGCTCAAAGAGTCAAACTTTAAAGGAATCTACAAAAATTATGCCCATGGAGAATCTAGGTTAAAGATCTCGTTCTAGAATTTAAGTTTTCTCCGGGATTGCAATTTATGTTCTGCTAGTTATTTAATGTGGCAAATAACTACCACTTCACCTGCTTCGTAAAGAGTTCAATCTGCTCTGGTACCAATTTTCCCAATCTAGTTAACAAAAACAAACATGAATTTCTTCAATGAATTCAGATATTCTCTGCAAAAAATTATTAAATTTTATAATTATATTTCTAAAACATTTGACAGTTACATAAAATAACTTACAAACGACTGCAAACATTACCAAAACGTCATACGACGTACACCATTAAAATTTTATGTGATGAACCAAAACGTCAGTATTTTTATAATTATATAAAAGAAATTTTATGTCAGACGAGACATGACTAAATAAGAAACATTACTATGAGGGAACCGCCCTAATTTTCAATCTCATACATTGGAAATATTAATACAATGTACAGTCCAATGATAGTTCAAAAAATCAGAATAAACTAGGCAAATAAGCAAATGGGAACATGCAATTAAGCAAAATTCAAGGCAGGGAAGACAGTATATTCTTGTGGTCGAGTCAGTTTCCTTCTGGTCTTTAATTTTTGCCAGCATCCAATCCCTCGTTCCTGTAATTATCTAATATTGTACTACAGTTGTTCATTGTGCAGGCATCAAGAAGACCATGATTCCAAAGTTTAATCACGAATAACCTCCAACACCTGAATAAAAGGATATTCAGTTTTGCAAAAACAGAATTCTAAAATAAATGACATGAGATATTGCAGCAAGCAATAGCTAATGAACAAAATATATGCATATGTACAATACTTTGTACAGCAGCAGAATTTGGATGTCAGTTCTATCTAATTGGTGGATGCCCTATCTCATAGGAAGTACTGTTGTAACCGCGTGCAGTAAACACACAAGATTCCAAAGCAAAGGAAACTATTAGCGTTTTGAAAATGACACAAAGTATAACAACAAAATTTCAAAGCAAATTACAGTTAATTTTTTTTTTATCTTTCAGCACAGAGGCGGACTTACGGTGTTGCATGTGTCTGCACATTGCACATGCAGACACAAACATTTGAGAAAAAAAAATTTCCAAAGGGGTGGGTGATTTAGGTAATGTAAAAAAAAAAAAAATTAGGAAGATTGAAAAGAAAAAAGTAAACATAGGCCCAACTATATTAGTTAAAATTGAGATCTTACCTAAAATCGGAAGGAGGATAAAAAATCATAAAACGTAAAATCCTAACGTAAAAAAAATCGTAAAAGTGTTTGGAATTTTGATGAAATCGTTTTGATTAAAAAAATCGTAAAATCACAGATTTAAATCGGGATTTTAACTAACATGGGCTCAACCCAACCAACTCCTATAATTAAAAGCTTAAACCCTATACATTTAAAATTTCCTTTAAAAAAAATCTTCGAGGGCGCTGCCCCCGAACCCCCGCCTTAAGTGTGCACACATAAACAAAATTTTCTGGGTCCGCTACTGTTTCAGCATGATTCCTTTTAGTAGGGAAACTACATGAAATTATAGAAAAATTAAAGGAAGAAAGGAGCAAAAAGCGTACCAAAATAAAGCAGGGGATGAGATCAGCTCTTTTCCGTGAAGCTTGGAAAATGCCTCACAGGCCCACGGAACATGACCATCAGCCAGCACCCTACCACAATAGAAACACATGAAACCAACAATAATCATGCACGTGATACAGAAAATCATTTTATTCATTGCGCAAAACCAACAAGAAGCAAACTAGTGTTAATCTAGGAAGCACCGACACTTCAATAACTTTGGCGTGTCGTGTCCGACACTTCCCGACACTCTCCGACACTCCCCGACACTTCAACACGCGTTATAGAAATTCAAAAAAAGATCAAAGGTTGCGTTACGTTAAGTTTTTAGTTCCAACTATTAGATTCGTTGGATTACGATTACCATTTTATTGAGTTTAATATAAATATATGGGATATCTTATGTTTCTTTGCAAAATTGATGAATATTATAAGTTTAGTTTTATTTTTTATTAAATTATTGAATATTAAATATAATATACCACTACATAAATTAAAAATATTATTTAATATCAAAATGTGTCCTAACGTGTCGAAATCTAACATTTTTTAGAATTAACGTGTCGGAGTGTCGTGTCGTATCGTGTCACGTGTCACGTGTCGGTGTCGGTGCTACATAGGTGTTAATTATGGGGAAAAAGAAACAGTAATGAAAAATTAATATGATGGCCAGCATTACACACCTTTGCTTCCTCATAAAAGAGTTCCAGAGATGCATGAGCTGTTTTTCATCTTTGGAAACATCCACAAAATCATCAAGCATCTGCAACAATTAAGTGATTAACATAATGTAAGCTTGTTTCGCTTTAAATATCCAATAGTAAACTGCACAAGATCTTGAAAAGGAGGGAAGGACCAAAATGAGACGGGAATTTTAAGAAGCGAAAAGGAAGAACATAATTTCAGAAAATTATACTTTGGCAGTTAAGAATCCAACTGTTAAATTAAATGTAATCCTGTTCCTTTCTTTCTACAAATTGTGCCCAGAAGTGACAAAACCCAATGCAACATTTTGACAAAGACAAAAGAGGAAAAAAGAAAATTTTGAATGATTTTTCCAATCTTACCCTTCTATCTTCAAGATCTGCAATGTCATCGTCAACTTCGTCTTCACTATCACGATCTGACAACACTTGTTCTAGCGCCATATGCTTCAATTAAGACACAGTACAAAGTAAGAAATGGGGTTTTAGAAATAAATCATATATATTCTTGTTAACCATCACCCCACACTCGCTAGTCGGGTTTAACGGGAAGTGGTTTTATATTCTTGTTAACCATCGGTGAAGCATTAAAAGAACATATCTACTAACAGAAGCTACCTCAATTTTATTAAAAAAAGAGTGCTATATTTTATTAGGGACAGTATCCGTTTACAAACTTTTTTGAATTTTTTTACAAATTACACTATATTCTCCCGGGAGAACATAGTGTAGTTTGTAAAAGTTTGTATTCTCCCGGGAGAATATAGTGTAGTTTGTAAGAGTTTGTAAATATAACCTGCCCCATTTTATTAAGCTAGAAGAAGGGTTGCAAATATAAGGTAATCAAGAATTGAGCAAAGAAGCCTGAGATCGAAGTCAAAAACAAAAATGTATTCCACGGAACTTACAATAAGCATTATATTTGTATCAATCCTAGCTGGTGTAAGTGTTAAATAAAACACATCGCAAGATAATTATTGTCCATCACTCCATCAAACTATAAACCTTGTAAAATCACATTCATTAACTTGATCTTTCTTTTCCTCCTTCCCTACATAAAATTCCGAAAATTCCAATACGGTATTAGAGCACTACCATTCTCTATGACTTACCATCACTATTCTACTATAAAGTTCCCAAAAACTCTTGTTTGGTATACTCTATTTCACGTAACTTAACTTTCAGCAAACATCTTTCACCCTCCCCTTTGTTGTATATTGTTCCAATCACCTTTCTCTCTCTTGTTCGCGTTTGTCACAGATGGTTTGCCTTTATTTGTGGGTTTTGCACCTCTTTGCTGCAACCATTGGATCCGGCATACTTCAATCAGCCAGCCCTTAAAGCCTTGCCACCATCAAGCCTGCCATGCACCTGCACATGCCACCTGAAGATTGCTACTCCAACACCTACATGCCTCCTTCCAACCACATGTGAGAAGGCGTCCAGTGACTTTTCCAACCTGACTCATAGTTTCCTCCTCTTTCCAAATTTGGTTTCACTTCATCCAACCAACCACCCTTTCTCTAACAGCCATCTCTCCTTCTGTGGCTGACATCTCAAATCAGCACATCATGTTTTTCTAGTGCGTGAAGTCCTCTTTCCTACCACCTCCACCATTGTTTTCCACACCACACCATCTCCGGTCAGGCCCAATCCCCAAAGCCTTTGTTTGCCACCTCAAAATGGTTGTTTAGCTCCCTTGGGCTGCACTCTGCTATGTTTGATGCTCTGATCTGAATTTCTCTTCCCACCTTCAATTGATTTGTGGTTTTCAATTGGCTTCGGCTATTTCTTGGTATTCTTTGTGATTGTTATCTCTGGTTTGTGTCGTTTAGCTCTTATTGGGTGTTTGTTTGTTTTATTGGCAGTGACTTATCTACCGATTGGTGACTACGCTTTCTGCCAACAATCATTATGGTGGTGATTGAACTTGAATGTGACTCACATCAGCCCCAAACTTAACTCCCAAATCTAATTTCCAAGTTCTCATTCAATCTCCTAAGTTTTCTTGTGGTTAGAAGCTTCCCAATGTTGTATACAACTTGAGAAGTTTTAATACTTGTGTACAACTGCTTGCCAAGAATTTTTCACTAATGATCATAACGACAAGGTCTCTTCTTCATTAGCCATGCAAAATTCCAACCAGCTCTTTAGGTTGATGATCATTCCTTCCAACTTACTCAATTATCTTTCTAGCAATGCTCATCTCTTTGATATCTTTAACATCCTTGAGTTGTCTTTCCCACCATGTTTTGTGGGGACTAATTTATTTCTTTCTGTTATTTTCTTTCAAAGTGTTAATTTGTAACAAGTTTCAGACTTAGTATGCTTTAATTTGAGGGAGAGTTTTAGAATATCTAGAGAATATATCATAATATCACTATTTTATCTTTAGAATATTTTAAGTATTTTAGATTATCTCTTAAGAGTGGTTTTCATATTTCATGATTTATTTCCTTATTTAATTTGGATTAGGAGTATCACATTAGTATTTTAGATTATCTAGTGTTTTTTATTTTGTATCACACCAAATTTATACGAATTTCAGATTATTCATTAGCTTGTTATCTCTTTTCCTCCTCTCCTACCTGAAATCCCTATAATGTCAACAACAAAAGAGCCGATCAATGACTAGCATATGAGAAAATGAGTTCCCACAATCAGGAGATAGGAAAACCAGTAGCCCGTCAGTAAACATTGACCCCATGTACTCTAGTTTGTTTGGGATTAGATTTCCAAAAGCTGGTGGTAATTACAATGAGGATTAGCAGTTTAGCACAAACTTCATATATGACTTATAGATGTTGAACATATAAAGCAAGGATTTCTACCGTCAACAAATCACGAATCTGGAACTAGTAGCAATTAGCTTATACATAAAATACTCCATACACCAAGCATGTTAAGAAGCGCATAAGTGAATAAAATTTTTTAAAGAGATCTAAGATAACAAATCACCTGAACTCTATGTGAGTGAAAGAACTGTCTCTTCTGCAGGAGCATACGGCTGGAGAAACAATTTTGAATAGAAAAATTGAATTAAAATGCCCAAATCAGGACATTCATGAGAAAGATAAACGAAAAAAAGATGTCTCTGACTCAATCCTCTCAAACTAATCATAGTTCATGGTGATTACCAATTTTTAAAGACATTCTTTAAAGAAAAATAATCATCGGATGACAGATGCTGATGGTGACAGTAATACTGCATATGCATGAGCCAAGAAACTTCAATCACAAATCACAGAAATACTATACAGATATTGGACACCTCAAACATCCTCACAGAGCCATTCAACTTTGTATTATTTCATATTATCAACAATTCCACATATACTTAAAATGTTCTTAGTATTTTAATATATACAACTTGTGTCCAAAAAATTACCACATATCTATCAGAAACTACAGGAATGCTAGCAACACACTCTTTCATACTATCTTTTCAATACACTCTCTGTTATTGAGTGAAATTTCATGCTGGCCCCAATAAATAACCTGGGTCGCTCTCTATTAGTGGAGCCAACATGGGATTTCACCCAATAATAAATAAAGTGTCAAAGAATTTGTTGTTAGCATTTATCTAAGAAATTTTACTTGTACCCATACCATGTTACTAAGAATGCAGAAAATTAAATTTCATTAAACAAACAGCAACTGATGAACACTAGAAATAAATATAATAACAGAGAATTTTAAAACAGTTGAATCTTCATTTAAAACTGAAGTTTATATCTTCAAAATTAAAAAGATAAGAAATAAAAAGGTTTTACGAACATACTTTCTTGAGTCCGACCGATCCATGTTTAACTTCTTCGTTTTAGCAGGCAGGGCAGGATCACTTCTATGTATTGATTTACTACATTCAGGGTCCCCAGAAAACTGGGGCATGGCAATTGAAACACCAGGAATGCTGAAACTGGATTCAACATGTTCCAGGTAATCCGTGGTGCCAGTGCCAGGATGATCAGGATCAAATTTTCCTCCGCCGTGCCTTTCATTCTGCAAATTCTTCTCACAGTGATATGTTCTAGACGTTTTCTCCCCTTTGCAGGACAGTATATCTACACATAGATTTAGAATTTCAGTCCACCCAACAAAGAAATTATGAGCAAGGAATCATATAGACATTATTCTTAATTAACAAAATTATAAATGCACACATCAGTTAGGCCGGAAAAAAAGAGTACTATTTGTTCCTTCCCCTATATACTGCAGTAAAAAGATTACATCAATTTGTATTTTGCAAGGGGAGATTGGGGAGGGGGGAGGGGGTGGGATTTGTCACAACATGTAGCACTTTGAGCATCTTAATTGAAAGATTATATGAAGTCGTCAAGTTAGTCTAGCCATCCCAGGCCCATCTATATATTGGATAAATGACAATATATTGTAAGAGTGAAATCAAACAGGAGGACCAGTAATCATCCTAACAGCAACAAAAAAGAAGGCTGAATTACACTTCACCTCCCTAAAGTTTTGTCAAATAAATTTTGGTGCATCCATCAAGTTCAAAACTTCACAGTGGTCATTACCTCTTTTTTTCTTGGTCTGAGACCCCTGGCATTCAGAGGCCACTTTGAACCCTGACTAATCTGAGTTGAGTTGGGTAGACCCACTTAGGAGGACAAAGCTAGCCCAATGCCTGTTTTTTCCATTCACAAGACTCGAATCTAAGACCCAACTTATGAAAGTGAGCTCCTTGCCGCTCAAACCAACAGGTGTTAGCAATGTTTTAAAACCCGGCTCAGACCGGCTAGGTCGACCCGGGTTTCGGTGACCCGGTGCCCTCATAGGTTTGAGCTGAGCATTGGATCGGTCCTGTAGTCTAACCGGTATCAACCCGGTGAACCGATCATGACCAGCGGGTTGAACCGGTACCGAAACCGGGTTCAACACCAGTTGAATCGGTGTTGAACCGGTTTTATGTTAAATTGTGTAAAAGGATATACATTTTGCAAGCAAAGGGATTCGAACTTGAGTCCCCTTGTTTGAGGATCAGAAGGCTTACCACTAGACCACTTTTATTTGTTGGACATGATGTTCATAATTCAATATTTATTATATATTATTTTGAAATCAAGTTGAACCTAGTTAAACCAGTGACCCAGTACCTCGACCGAGTTGATTACCGGGCCGAGTTTTAAAACACTGGGCATTAGTACATATTACCCCTTTGAACACTTAAAGATTCAAGAATACTGTAACTATTAATAATTTTGTTAAAACTGATAATAAGGAGACTATTTGCAACTCCCAAAAGCAGAGTACACATAGGGTTTCCCACTTCTCTATTTTCTAATGGTTAGGACTAAAATTTATTGCATCTCTCACTCTTCTTTTTTCTACAATTTTTGCACACAATAAAAGTCTCTTCTACAAATACACTTTAAGAGACAAATTCTGTGTGCTTTAGGCAAAAAAGTTTATCACTAAAACTGTCTCTAAATATTGTTTCTAATTATAGTCACAGCAATCATCAAAATATAATTGATACCATCGTCTTTCTGTAGAAATCCATTCTGTACGCCTTCTGGTGAGTCCAACTCCAGGAACTTTACATTGGCACGCTTTTCATTTTGAACAGAGTCTTTTCGTCTACGCTTTTGAGGTCTTGAACTGTTCAGTTTGTTGTTATTTAAATCATTTCAAAGTCAGTAATCGCACTTGAAATTATAGTAATTGGTTAGTGACTGCTTTAAATGAATATACACAACCAACCAGAAGAAGAATGTTTGTGATTGTGGAATTACTCCATCAGCAACATTCTGCATACAGATAGATCCGTGTTAACAAAATGAATAATAAGAAAAAATCAGTGCATTTTAAATGAAAAAGGAAATTTTATCAAATAGTCATTCAAAAAAGGAATGTTCATCACTCAATCTTCCAATGACTGACACATTTAAGACGAATGTTCTATCGGAAGTTATTAGGCAAGACAAATTAGTGCAAGGTCATCTTTAAACCCGAATATTTTGTCCACCCTTTGCCCAATACCTTGGGCAACTAGCGCATTTTGCAGCAGGTAAAAAAATATTTGATTAGACTAACATGATCTGCATCTAATCCTGGCATATGAGATGCAGAACCTATACTATGGTTAGATTAGTCACTGCACTATGGTGGTACAAAAACATACCACACAAAGTTGTTCCTTAAATATGGGACCCATTTTAACATCCACCGTCAAAACCACACAGATGGAAACCAAGAAAATCTCAGCAAGTGCAATCAAGCTAAGCTATCCCAACAGCACTTTTCTTGGTTATAACCGCAGAAACCAAATTCTATAAGATAAACAGAGTTATCAATCTCGGATAGCATCACGTAGCTGCTGACCGAAAACCTCTATAGTGGGATAGCAGATTGCGGTATAGCCACTACAATGAAGTCAATTGTATGACAACGATTGTGACCATTCTTTAATTCTTGTGATGATTATAATACCCAAAATTTGAAAAAGGATAAGTAAATGGTTTAAATTAAAAATAAAAATAAAAATAAATTATAGGATTAAGGCTCCTAAATTTGTCTACTACTATTCCCTAGATTAAATGCTCCCATTACTTACATGCCACCCTCTTATTGAATTCTCTTCCCATCCTCCATATCCCATTAATTAATGGAAATAAATCATTTCATGTGTTATTTAATATGACCATCTCATGTGAGAGAATCTTAATCATCAATGAACAAATCAACGGTAATTTTGAAACTTCCTATCTCAGTATTTTTTCTCTCTTATCCCTCGTCAAATCACGATATCAAAACTAGAAAACTCCATTTTAAAATTTAAAATCACGATATCAAAACTAGAAAACTCCATTTAACGGAGTTTAATTAAAGAAAATGAATCCTCTCGTATGTTATTTAACATAATCATGCCATATGAGAGGATCTTAGTCATCAATGGAAAAATCTACAATAATTTTGAAACTTCCTATCGCAATATTTTTTTTCTCTCCCATCCCTCATCACCATTGATATGCTCTTGAATGGTTAGGATCCTCCCACATGTCATAGTCATATTAAATAACACATGAGAGGATCCAATCACATTAACTGACATCCCACACAATTAATGACATAATTAATCAAAATTAAATCAAATTCATTTTAAAATTTAAAATCATGATTCAAAACCAGAAAACTCCATTTAATGGAGTTTAATTATATTTAATAACAGTACTTTCAATTTTTCACTTTTGTTTTTTCATTTTATTGTAGAAATAGATCCTATAACCATTGATTTGTCTATGAACGACTGAGATTGTCTTATGACCTGATCATGTTAAATGATATATGAGGGGATCCATTCCCACATAACATTTATCCATATTGGCATATATAAATCTCTCTCAGTCACACACATGAAGGAACAGCCTTCCAGTTTGGTCTCTCTCTCTCTCTCTCTCTCTCTCTCTCTCTCTCTCCCCTGTTTCCCTCTCTAAAAGCTCTGCGAGAACACAGCAATGGCTGCCAAGGTAAGTTCTCTGATCCAAATTCTGAGATTTACCCTTCATTCACTATAACAATGTGATTTTGGCCGCTACTTCAAATTGTTGCATTGCGCAACGGAAATCTAAAGGGGAATTGCTATTGCGCCATAGACCCACTACCTGCATCTTTGACGCAATAGCGCACTACTAATAACTTTTTTGGATCCATCAAGAATGGAAGACCTCTATCATCTCTACTTAATAAAAACAACAATATATCATTGGCTAGATCTTAATGAGCTTTTTTTAATAGTGCCCAATGAGTTGCTTTTGATGATTTTATCAACAGTAACTTTATAAAATAAATAAATAATTGAACAACCCTAAGGAAAATTAAACATTCACAACAAATCCAAGTTAACTAAGGTTCTGACCTCTGATCTCAATATATCAATTTTCACAGAGACATTCACTGCTTGATAATCTTCGGTAACCTTCAAAATAGAACGAATTGGAGTTTAAAATCCATTCAGAAAGAATCAAAATGTAAAAACTAACTTTACAGTTACAACTGCGAACCCAGAACTCAAAATTGAATAGATCATGTGATGAACAAAGATGAAATCGCAAACCCTGCACAAATATACTGAGGTTGTTAAAATTGCTAAAGAGGATACTTGCAAGAAACATTATGCAATAATTATGAAAATGAAAAATGAAACTAGCTAAGATTAGGCAAACGTGTAAAACATCAACAGATGAGCTCATATGACTTTTATAGCAAAAATTTTAAGAGAATAATAAATAGTCAAAAAAAGGTGTGGCAAACAAGTCATTGCCAATTTGTCCTGCTATATTTTAGCTCAAATACAAAAAATAATTTCAAACAGAAGAAAAACAAGTTGAGACTTACAAAAATTACTCAAGTTCCCATCTGTATCCATACATATTAAATTTTTTACTACTTCAAAACAATATCACATAGATTCTACCATTCAAATCAGAGAATGAGTACTTTTTTTTTTTTTTTGGTAATAAGAGAATGAGTACTTTAAATACTGAAATTCAATACTTTTTCCATGACAAAATGGTTTTCAAAGTTTTCCTTTAGCTTCTGAAAAGAAAAAAGTAACAACATTGTTCCTAATTATTAAATTATGAAACGAAGAAGCATTATGATAGTACAACTCACAGTATATACCTTAAAGCTCACACACTGCATCATGCAAAATGGACAAGAAAAGTCTTCGGTCACTGCATTTCAGAAGAGACAGGAAATGTATCAGTACTCTCAAAATCCTTCTTTTCTATTAAAGAAACTGTTAGAAGAAAAGAGAATAATAAAACAAGCACCATAAAAAAATAAAAAAGAGGAATAAATATGTCAAAATTATAAGTAGAAGCAGTTCTGCACTCAAAAACTCAGTCATATGCATCTGGGAGAATATTGGAATCAGCGAAACAAAAAACAGATGATAAAATGTTGACAACTACTGTGATTGATCTTCAGAAAACATATGCATTATAGGAAGGCAGAGGTAAGATGCAACTTTGAAATTAGTTATTGATACTATGATGTACCTTCAGTCTTTCGAAGCATGTTGTAACAGTCCCTGTAGTTGAAAAACACAACCCCTGCTCTCAACCTGTAAAAAAGTAATCACACAAATATTACACCCAAAATAGCAAAAAAATATACATATAAAAAAAATCATAAACAAAAAGATAAAGCATATTTTAGAAGAACTACTTTGATTAATTGTTGATCAGGCAAACTTGCAAGATCTACCAGTGGTTGAATGTAAATTTTGAAAAAGACACAAGTTCAAAATTACTGGTTTTGGTCTTTGGGACTTGGGACAATATGCAGCTTAGGGTTTTGAGAATTGACCATCCTAATCTTTTATTTTTACCACAAATTTTTTGCTTGAGTAGTTAGTTTATATAGAAAATTAATGCAAAATAGCCAAATATTTCACTGTTTTCTCCTTTTCCTAGTGTTAATGCCTTCATTAAGTTAGATGTATGTTATTTTGCAACTATCACCTCAAAGACTTAACCGCCTAGCTCCTTAAGAGAACAATGCATATTGCATAAGACAGACATTGAAAGAGTGTTTGCTCTTTCGAACAGATGAATTATTTCTTTTATTTCTTTTCCCTTGTTTTTGTTTCTCTTACAGGAGGGGACTCCCGATCCTCCAAGTTAAATTCCTTTTTTACTCAATGAATTCTCCTTTTACCAAAAAGAGAAGACAAAGATGTCTGACAGTGATTTAATCCACGAATAATTAATGTCCAGCAGCAAAATCTAGTAAAAAATGCTTTGAGTAAACACATTAGCAGCGTAGAAATAGTGCAGTACAGAATGGGATCATGAAACCAAAAATTAATCAAATGATGGAAGGAAAAGTTACCCCCTTTTACGCCTTGCTTTTATTTTATAGTCCAAACATCTCCTAAGGAAAGAAGGCTGCAAGAGAAATGAATTAGAAAGTACAATAAAACGATGGATATTTTTTGAAAATAAAACTTGGCATCCACATTAATTTTAAGAGCAACATTCAAATGCAAAAGAGGTATGCAGACAGCATCCAACAAAAATATAAGAGCAATTCATGTGTTCTAAGTATCAGAAAAATCGAATAACCATATCTCTTTCTGGTAAGCTTTCAATGTGCCAAGAAAAAAAAGGAAAAAAATAAATTGAAACATTGTGTCTAATTATGGAATAATAATAGGAGAGTAAGATTTAGATTTGAAAAGTCACAACACACCACAAAATCAAAACAAGAAAAAAAAAAAAAAAAAAAAAAGAGCATATAATCTCACATTATGAAGAGCACGTCTGTAGAGAATATTGTACAATTCAACAGGCTTGCAATAAATCAAGAGGCTCTCATCAGCTGCAATTTCTTCTTCGCCAGAATGGCGCACCGGAGAATTTTGCCGGCACATGACGATTTCAACCTGCACAACACATGAGATCAACCTTACACATACACTGATACACACAGACACAGTTAAATACTATCTCAGACGTTTAGGTCAAACGAACCAACACAGCAAAATCTATAGCAAAGGTTACTGCAGCAGCTATATATTGAAAGCGAGAAATAGAGTAATGAGTGAATAGAGAGAGAGGATTAAGAGACTGAGAGGAAGAGACAGAACGCCGAGGAACCCTTCGTCGTCGTCGTCGCCGATGAGGAGATCTGGCTGAGAAGAAGGGAAGGGCCTAGCACCGCTAACCCAGTCCAGCACGCAACAATAATGGCCCATCCAAATTTCTAGCCCAACTCTTCTTATAACATTTTTCTCATGCAATAATGAAGCGCCAATTGAGCCCAAAACGACAAATTATATTGTTTATTAAAATACAATTTTTATCTATATTTAGCATTCTAATTAAGAGAATATTTGATAACATTTTATTTGAGTTTTGTTTCACGAGTGAATTAAATATTTTTTGTGATCACAAATTCATAGTATAATAAATATTTTTTTATTTTTTTTTTAACTAGCATTCTAATAGTATTCATTAAAGAATCTCATTTTATTTATATATTTCTTCTTCTTTTTAGTTGAAAACAGATCATTATAAAACTAATAACCAGAAAATCTGTCTAAGAAGAATGAGAGAGGCAAGTGATGGTGGTGGTGGTGATAATTGACGGAGGCTAATGTCGAGGGATGGTGGTGGTGGTGATGGTTATGGTAGAGAGTGATTAAAAGAATACAAGTGTTTTTCATTTTGTGTCTAGGAATAAAAAAAACATAAATTTTTTGATATTTTTTATTCCCCAACACAGAAATAGAAGCGATTCATCATTAGGAACAAAAAAATAAAACGGTTTTGTCAAACACTGTTTCCATCTATTTCTGTTCCCGAGAATAAAAAAAGAAAAAAAAAACTTATTCTAGAAAAATTGTCAAGCACACTTTAAGTCTTAACAACAACAAAAATTTCTATCCCATTACTATCATAGGAATTGTTTAAATTTAATATAATTAATTAAAATTAATAATTAATTTTAAAAGAATCAGTTCAAATTTAAAATTAATATTTGAAAATTTAGTTTAAAAGGCTTATTGTTTAAATAAGTTAAGGTAAAAGTAATTTTATAAATATAATTACTAAAAAATATATTAAAGTTAATATAATCTAAGTTTTAAATAAATATATTTTACGTTTTGGTAAAAGTCAAATGTAATATTATTATTTTTCAATCGTGATTCTACTATACGTAAAAGCTTTAAATTGTTGCTAACTTGCTATCGCAGGAATTGATTTTACCGGTCACATATTCACGTCCATTCATCACAAAAATAATACATATTCTTTTGTTAATCTAAGGGCCAATGGGTGTATTAGATTAGGATTTTGAAAGATTTTGTTGAGATAGAAATCTTATAGATTTTAAAAGACTATTTAAAATTAAACATATTTTAAAAAAAAAATTAAAAGACATTTTTTTTTTTTTTGATAACAATTAAAAGACATTTTTTACTATCAAGATTTCATAAGATTGTATTTTAAAGAATTTTAATAGAATTTATAAAATTTGAAAAAACAATATGCATTTTATAAGATTTTAAAAAACTATATGTGTAACACCACGTGTTAACCCGGTTTGTTAACATGTCATCGTATTAAGTCACGCTTAATTTAAAAAGGCAAAATATTTTTTTTCTTTTCAATTATGACGTCATTATCAATTACCATATTGATTACTTAATCAATTTCATAAAATATCGCCTGTATGTAAATTGCAATAAGACATCTACTGAAATACCTCAATATATAAATAAAGTGTGTATCTAAATCACGGCATTACATCTCGTAATCCGGACAATATCCTGATACATTATTACAACTCCCAAAAGACTAAAGACGAAACAATACTATGTGTCATGGACAATCCCCATGCTCACCAAATAAACAGCGTAAACAACAAGTCTTAACATAAAACTCCACAAACATGAACTGAAGCTATAAGCATATAAGCAGCATGCAAATCCAGCATCCAACATGTCAGCATAAATAACAACAAATCTAACTCAGCTCCGGTCTTCTGCCGCCTGAGGTCTCAACATTACCTGATCCAGAAATAAGAATTCCCCAAACGTGGGGTGAGATCTCTAAACAAGAAATCTCAGTAAGACAAGGGGTCCTCAAGGATCTTCCACCCCAAGTTCACTTACATGTGCAATATAAGTTCTAAAAGCATTTACATCATTATCAGTTCCAAAACTATGTAGTGCAACAGATATCTATAGCATGTGTGTAATCACTATTCTACTGGCCAGAGAAATGTAGGAATACGTCTATACCTACATGTAGTACAAGGAACACCGCTTGCACCTCACCCACAGCCTCACCCTATTGTATGTTCTACATACTCAGGCTTACCGTATAGGTGGAACACCTCCATGCATATCAACAAGGCACTAACATACAATAGCTCAACAGCATTTCCAAAACATCAAAAGCATGTAACACAGCATGCATATACCATACCCCCATGGGACATGGTGGAACCACAACATGGCTAAACCGATGACACGAAAGCTTACCTTACAAGCTCACTATCCAAAGCCAAGAGTCCTCACAGCTCAAGTCCAACACACGGCAGATCACAATCTGATTTAGGACCAGCAAGTGTATCAACATACATAACTTAAAAGCATTAACATAAAGACTACGTTCTTCTTTAACGATTTACGTCTTAAGGCTTCCAACAAAGCCTCAAGCCCTTAATCACATGATTCTGACTTAGTTCATTAATTACAGAAGTTCAGCTTCATCAATCTAGGGTCCACAAAACCCCAATAGCCTACTGTACACACATCACAGCTACTGTTCTACGAAATCTCAGAATATCCGGATATTCCTCGGGTACATATCTGGATATACAATATCCGGATATGCCACTGTGCAGATCCGGATATCAATATCCAGATATCCAGAATCCCATATCCGGATATCACATATCCGGATACCATATCCGGATATCCAATATCCGGATATTCCACGGGCAGATATCCGGATATTTCACGACAGAATGCATAAACTGCATTTCGTGAAGATATCCTTCAAAGGTTGGGTTTTTACCGATTTTAAACACTTAAACATGCATTTCTAGTGTGTTTGACATTACCCAACGTTAAGTTATCATCTTTTAGCCTTAACATGCATTAAGCTTCCATTTTTAAGCATAAAACTCAAGTTCAAAGGTCACAAGGCTTACCAAAGCTTAAAACAGAGCAAGAATGGCTCTTAGAGCTCACAAATCAGATGCTAAGGTACAGTCCCTCAAGGTGCACGAAAATGAACATGAAGGTAGGTTTTTCCCTCAACATGAAGGCACCTTGGAGCATCAAAATGCCAAACAAAAGGTCACACCCCTTAAGATTAGAAAACACAGCTCCCTCACACCTCTTACAGCAGCTGGACACTCACCAAAAGGCTCTCCTTTCACTTAACAATGATGCTCTCAAGTGTTTGCAAGCTTGAAGATGGAAGGAATCAAGTAAAGGTGGCACCTTGGTCAAGAAAATGGAGAAGAAACCAAGAGGCACTATTCTGATCAGCCACCCCTTCTCAAGCCACGCACAAGGGTAGTTATCTAGGGTTGTGTGCCCTTAAAAGCCATATATATAGACACATACTCATTAAACACGCAGTATTAGCTTTAATTGCTACGTTTAGTATTTTAATCCCAAACTTTGGATTCTGAAACTATTCATTTTTCCAAGAATTATCATATTTTTATAATATTTTTCTAAGCACCTTTCCGGTACGCGCTTTTCATAGCCAGTATCAGTTTCTGGCACCAGTTCTCATCATTTGGACTTGAAACTAGTTTTACAAGTCCTACATGTCATTCTAGTAATTATCATGCAATTATTATAATTTTTCGGGATACTTTTTCGGTACGCATTTATACCGACTAGCAGAACCGGTATCTGCACTTTTCTTCCGAAAAGCGACTTTCAACATTCTTAATCACTTATCATAATTATTAGAGCCTCATAATAATTATTAGGGTCAATTATGGAATCATTTCCTAATTTGCATAATTAATTAATTAAATACCTTATTTAACGGTGCAGGTTCTGACAATATGAATTTTTAACAAATATTCAAAATTACAAGAGTCAAAAAAAAAAAATAACAAAGAAATGCAATGATATTAATAAAAAATTAAACCCTAATATAATTTTCTCAATCAATAAAACATAATATAACTTTTAACAAACATTCAAAATTACTTATTAGCAACAACTCTCCACATATCTAAAATTATACTAGTCCTCGATGCATTAATATTTTCTCATTCATGCTCTTGGGTTTGATCAATGAGTTAAAAATTATATTCTTCATTTGGTATCAGAGTTATGCATATATGATTATAAGACTCAATTTTTATTTATTTATTAAAATAATTTTAAATTTACATATAGAACCTAAAGTTCATGATAAAATTACGTTTGGAATTTTTTGCAATTGATCTTCGAAACCTTGAGATTTTTGTTCTAGGGATGAGAGTTTCCTAACCATATATCATATGCATGTTTTCATTGAGTATTCTAAGAAAATTTTAAATCTGAATTTATGAGTTTTATTACATGAAAGTTTAGAAAAATTCTCAAATTATTTTCAATCGATACATTAAAACCTTAAATTGTTTTGGGGCTTTTGAAAAATAAATTTTTAGTTATCTATTGATACAAAAATTGTTTAAAATTGTTTCCTAATGAAGGAATTTCGTTCATGAATGTATTGTTACGAAATATAGGGTTTGTATTATGAAAGTTTCAATCTTTCTTTAAATTGATCTTGTTTCATTAATGTAAAACGAAATTTGGTTTTAGGGTTTTATGTTATTTTTAATACAAAAATCATACATTTTTGTGCCAGGAAAAATCACGACCCATAGCTTGAAAAAATATTTTTTAAACTTTCAAAAGCTCTCAAAAATTTGTTGTTTTGATATGGATTATATTAGAATTTTGTTGATTTGTTTTTTCTGGGTTGTTTAGTGATAAAAATTGCTCAAAAATACGTTGTTTTTGAGCTTTGACGAAGCTCCTATGGCGGAACTTGATTTTGAGCGGGTCAACCCACCACCATAGGAAGAAGAAAACACTACAATAGAGAAATCTCAAGAAATCCTAGGGGTTAAGATGATATTGTAAGAGAGTCATCCTATTTATATTTCTCACTAAAAAGTCTCATGAAATCCA